CTGTCTACCACAAGGGCCCATTGTGCATACTGTTCATTTCTTCAATCAACAAATATTTAATGAATCTCTGCTATGGGCTAAAGCCATCTTGAGACACTAGAGATAGAGTAGGGAAGAACACAAATTCCTTACTTCTATGGAGGGTGTGTTCTGGGGTGCGGGAGAGCGCACACAGGGAGTGGCGGCCTGTATGTGGCTGAGCAGGAGCGCCACGGGAGATGGCTGTGCTGAATGAGTGGTCCAGGAAGAACTAGGGGCGATTGGACGAAGTGAAGAAGGTGAGAGCCCAGAAGATACCCTCTGGGAGAGACTCGGAGGGTGCAGTGAGGGCCTGGGGCCTGAGGCGGGAGCACGTCAGGGAGAAGCGGTGTGTCTGCAGGGCAAGGAGGTGGCCAGAGAGACCGGGGAGGCGGGCCACTGAGGACACGGACCCACACTGAAGAGCTGGGGGCCTCTGGAGGGTCTTGAGCAGAGAAGTGGCAGGATCTGACTTAGGTTTCCAGGAGCAGCTAGGCTGTTGTGATGGGAACGGAGTAAGGAGGGGAACACTGGGTGTAGCTGGTAGCTCATGATATCCCGGCAAGACATGATGGTGTCTTGGACCAGGGTGGTCATGCTGGGGTGTGAAAAATGGGGCTATTATGGATACACTTTAAAGCAGAGCCGACAGCATCTGTTGACAGATTGCATGTGAGGTGTGAGGGAAGGGAAGGAGGCGAGGATGACTCTGAGACTGTCAGCCTGAGCAGCTTCGAGAATGGAGGTACAGCTGAGGCTCTGGAAGGGATCCAGCTGAAGGGGGGCATCCACAGTGCTGGGGTGCCAACAGCTCATGGAAAAACTAAATATCAGAGTCTATTCATTGATGAATACGTCTACTTGCTCTAATGAGGAAGAAGCGGCAAACTGGTGGCCCCTGGGCCTAATCTAGCTGGCAGACAATTTTACTTTGGTTATCACAGTATTTATTAAATAACTGAATTCATTGGTGTTCTAAGCTCATAGGATTTTATAGAAAAATCTGGATTTCTAACTTCTTTTAGAAAAGTGGAAGTTTGAGCAACCCACATAAGGCTAGTTGGCCTTGAATGACAGCTAGCTTCTGTGGCAAGGCATGCCCCCCTACTCCCTCTTGTCTTACAGGTGCTGCTCCCCACTCTCTGTCCCTGTCTCCTCATTCAAAAATAGGAATAACAGTGGTACTCACCTCCTGGGGTGTGGATAAAATGAGAGTTCCTGTGGCCAGGATTCTTACCTGGCTCTGGTTGACTAGCTCACTGCACACCTGTGGGCACTACATGGCTGCTGACTATAAAAAGAGCTCTGCCCAGTACTCTGGGCACAACACGGTGGCATGGCTGCAGGGCTGCAGGAGAGCAGAGCAGAGGCTGGAGGGGTGGCAGTGCCGAGGACAGAGGCCCAGAGGACGGCTGTACAGGCAGAGAGGCCCAGAAGCAGAGACTGGCTTGCTACATGCAGACTCGTTCTGAGTGAATGGGATTCTAGTGACTGACCTGCCACCTGGAAATAAAGTTGGGTATAACCTTTCCACTCCAAAGAACGTTTTGCTGTCAATTTCTTTGGTCACATGGAATCCATAGCGAACTTGCCCGGGGCTGAAACCCATTGGCAAGACATGGGGTTTTAGGAAAATGAACGGAGCTAACTCATGTAAGCAATGAGAACAGTGTCTAAGAGTGTTAAAAATGTTTGATATTATTGTTGTTATTATCTGCATGGTCTTGCAGGGCTGTGAGTTGGCAACTCCTGCCAGGAGGATTTCAGAAAGCTGGAAGATGATTCTAACGGGTTGAGAGGTGAGTGAAGCTTCCCTCAATAAATGATGCCACCAACCCTGAAAGCAGGAGGGAAGGAAGCACAGCCCCCAGACACTGGGGAAGTTGTGTCTGCCTGTGCGGTATCAGCCCCACAGATCGGGGTTCAGTCTCCCTTTGCAGAGCTCAGTGCAGCAGCCTGGGTCACCGGTGACTCACCTAACGGCCCCGCGAGTTTGCCCAGCTGGCAGCGTCACAAATTACATTTGCAGCCTCCTTATCAGGCAAGCTAGGAAATTAAACCTAAATGGCTATGGTGTTGCTAAGTAATATAACTGTGTACACAGGCACCCAAGGCTGAGATAGTCATGGCCCCATTAAAGCATCGTTTCCTACTGTGGCTAATAAGGTTTGAAACCTTCAAAGGAAACCAGCTGTTCTTTTTTAAGGTCAGAAAATGGAGTAACTTGGTTATAAGCAAGAGAGAGAGTTTCCCTTCCTAGATACTAGGGGTGTGTGTGTGTGACTGTACATGTGTTTCTCTGGGTCTGCACTGGAAATCTAGTCTCTTGGCCTATAGGAGGTGGGTGGGGGTAGATCACAGACACCCACCTTGCCTTCCTGGACCCCTCTTTCTCGGGCCATGAGGGCCTGGTCAGACCAGCACCTGGCACTTCGGAGGTGATTGCTAAATGACCTTTGGCTTTATTCTGCCTGGGGGTGCTTCCTGGGAATATGTGGCCCTAGGGGATGGGACATTCCTGGCAATTTCTCAGTCAGGATGGGTTTTCTTCTAGAAACTTATCATCCTACTATAGGGCCCTCAAGCCACAAGTGGGGCTCCTGGCCCACAAGATGCCTGGGCAGCTGAGCTGGACCTGGAAGCAGGCTCCTTCCCCATTTCTCCCCAGTCAGACCATCTGTGTCCATTTCAGGGTTTGGCTCCTCATGGACCTGCCAAGGTTAGAGGTCAAGGGTGCAGATCCTGAGAGTGAGGCCATAGCTCTCCAGCCTGTAGTTCACACAGTGCGATCAGGGGGTTGAGGCATCTGGAAACCATGGGCCCTCCCCGGCTCCCTCTCAGAAAGACTCGCTGCATCTTCTCTGATCTGAGCTCCTGGGATGGGGCAAGGGAGTGAAATCCCAAATCCCTCCTGTTTAATGAGCATCTTTAGCCACATCTTCCCCACAATGCTGATGCTCATTTCTCAGGACTCATTCAGGCTGGGTGGACGTCACATCCTTCTGGTTGGCAAGACCAGTGTGGGCTGACAGGCTGCCGAAGGGGCGTGCCTGCAGTGCAGTGGTATGTTTGTCTGTCCGGATCTGATGTCAGGCCTGAGCTCCATCCTCTGATAGTCTTGATAATTTGTCCTAGCCAGGCCTGATGGTCACTGAACAGAAAAATGTGGAGAATTCCTCTGGCAGCTGGTTTGAGATATGGCTGTGCCCCGAGGGGACAAAGAGTTTCATCTAGGGGATAGCTCCAAATCAAACCTTCCAGAAGAGTGCATTCTTTCCCTTTTTTTGGCCCCCTGCAGGCATGGATCCATTTCCCTGGGGAAGAGCTATTCTCTGCTAGAACCAGACTGACCTGTGTGGCTTCCTGGCTGGCTATCAATCAGACTGTGATATCCCTAAATACCACCCTCGCTTACCACACAGGAGACCCTCGAGCAAGCAGGAGTCAGGTTGCAGTCCAGTCTCTTGTTTCAGCAAGTTGTTGAGTTTAGATATGGTCTAAATCACCAAGACATTTCCCTCTGCAGTGCTCTGTGAGCTCGCAGAGTGGCGGGCTGTGACTGGTTTCGTGTGCATGTACCATGGCGCTTGGGTCCTATTGGTTAGTCTTCAAACAACTATTTTTGCCAAGTGTTTTCACTATGAACTGGCTTTTTAATAAGTCACATCAAGAGCAGCATGATTCTATCCCCTCTACCACTATTTCTATTGAAAGAAATGCTGGCCATATTTAAAGAATGCCCATTTCATTTCTTTAGAGGGCCATCACTTGATTGTTTGACTATGGGTGTTTCTTTGGATGGTCCTGCTGCCGGAAAAACCTCCAAAGGGCGAGTTGTCCCCAAGCTGAGTGTCCCTATAGCTCTGCTTAGCTTTTGGATAATTTGGATAAGCACAAATATCTGCGTGTCTGTGTACTTGCCCATTTAGGAGACCATCATATCCAGCTGAATTCACTGGGCTGGTATAGAGACAGCCCAGATTAAGCTCTTTCAAGGGAAAGGAAGACACCATTGGCAGGGTCCCAGGGCAGGACTAGAATGGCTTCAGGGCATCCTTATTCTCCAAGGGCTACTGAAGGCACCACTCCTACCTCAGGATGGTGGCATGTCGGTGGGGCAGCCTTGTATTCTTGGAACAGTCACACCTCATTCAGAATTGTTTCCATGTCAGAGTATCCTAGCCACATTGAAGGTACCCATCCTTCCCTCCTTTCCTTCCATGTGAAGACTGGTAAGAACCCTAGAGATGGTGGTGTACCTTTAACAGTGATAGCCTTTTACAAAATTCTGATCATATTTTATGTTCATGGTGGAAAATGCTGAAAATATAGAAATGCTCTATAAAGATAAAAGTAACCCATAGTTAACTCACAAATAACCACTATTAGCCTTTTGAAACATCTATTTCAGTATTTTTTCTACTCATGTATGTATACACTCACATTTACATTATGTATATATGTATTCATTTAAAAAAATAGGATCATACTATTTTCTGGTCTGCTCTTCCCATTTAACACTTTATTACAAACATTTCTCCATGTCACTAAATTATTCTGCATCATCATTTTGATTGCCTATCATTTATGACATGGACACATTCTGGTTTATTTAGCCAGTTCCCTAGTATGTGACATTTAGGTTGACTCCAAGACTCCAATACTTTTTTTTCCCCACTATAATCATTTCTTTAATGAACATCCTTGGATTTCTTCTGTACATCAAAATTTAGCACATCTTTAGAAGACTTTGACTGATATTGCCAAATTATTCTCCTGAAAGGGTGTACGTATTTCTGATCAGCTGTGTATGGTTGCCTTTTATTGCAATTTAAAATGTATTTGTCAATTTGATAGGTGAAAAATGAGCATCTCCTTGTTAATTTTAATATCTTGGATTACACGAGGCTGAACGCTCTCCTTGTGGTAATTGGTCAGCAGGGATCTCTTGTGCTCCCCTGCTTCCAGATGATGGAGTTTAAAGAGTCATTAGTTATCACTTAGGAAGATGAAATTGAGGCAGCTGCCAGGGAGCTGAGGGCAATTAAAGTAGTTGCTATTAGCCTTTAGAGCCTAAAACAAATCTCCCCAAGTGTCTGTTTTCCATCATCCCTGAGCAGGCCTTCTAATTTGAGGCTATCTTGCTCCTCCAGGGCAGAACTGGATGGAGCAGGACATGGGACACAAGAGGCTTGGGGGGACTTTAGGGTGTGGACAGGGTACCTGGCTCACTAATCGATCAATTTTCTGTGCCTCCAGGCCTTTCTCTTTCCTTCCCCTCATTCATGCAGATAATCGTATGTCAAATATCTTCGATTGTGTTCTGCAGTGTCTGTTCCCTTAAACGGTGAGGTAACGTGTCTGGTGCCAAAGCTGATATTCTGAGCCTGAGTTTAGTGGATAACCTGCCAAGGCCCAGCTGTGTGTGGATGCCAGGCTTCTTTATGGCTAGGTATGCAGGCCTGCAGGACGAGGGGAGGAGGGAGGTCAGAACAGGGAAGCCATTTTGGGGAGGTGGTCATTATAGGGAGAGACACAATCTAAATCAGATCTCTAGCATGTAATATGCAATGTGTTGGGACAGCCAGCAATCTGGGCTGGTGTGGCTGGGCTTTGAGGACAAATTGATGCTCCATGCTCCTTTCACGATACAAAAATGACTGGCACTGTTCACTCCAGTTAGAAGGTCCACGGATGGATCTGGAACACAAAATCATGAGACTTTCTGCCAGTTTTGATAACTGAGTTTACAAGGAGAAAAGCGATGGTTGTGGGGAAGGCCTGAGGGGATGCTGGCTTCCCTCCAGCTGACGCAGGTGGTGTGAGCGGATCCTGTGGAGGCCAGGCTAGGACAGCCCCTCCGTCATCCTAAACTGGCAGGTGCTCCTGGAGGAGCGACGTGAGGGAAACTGCACCGGCACCTGGAACGTGGGGACAAGGGTGGAGGTTTGATGTCTCATTTCCTGTCCTCAGAATCCAATATAGTCATAAATAAGCCCGGAGAAGCAACTGTCAGGAGAACTAAACAGGAATGCCTATTGTTTCTGAGGCTCTGGAGACTGAGAGGAATTCATATTGCGTCTTTCACTTTGGATTTTAACTCTGACATAACTTGGCCCAAGCTAACTGTACTCCATGGACAAAAAGAGCCCTGCGAAGTGATGTGACCTTCGCCACAGGGACGGACACCTTCACAACGGGAAAAATGGGTTTGGCACAGGTGAGCTCTAAACTCTTCTGAGTCATGCTCCTAGACTCTATATGCATCTCTTTACAAGTTAGAGGCCGGGTCTGCCAGAGCCTCCCAGCAGGGATTCACATCAGCCCTCCTTGCTGGAAGGAACTTGGGCTCCTGTGGTGTTGGGTGCACAGAGGAGAGGACTTGGGAGGGTGGATGGCACACACAGTGGCTGCTGTGGAGAGGAGCGCTACCCTGTGGAAGAATCTGGAAGCATTTGGATGCACTTAGCAGTGTGCCAGCATTTGTTATCACGGTGAAACTGCTTTGTGTTTTCCAGAATGTTTCTTGTAGATCTGACTTGATCTTCATAATATAAAAGTATTTCCCAGAGGTTTGTTGAATTCCAATTTTTCATTATTTGAACAACTCCTCAGGCTCCTAGTGGGTGCAGTTTACAACAGGTGTGCAGAAGCAGCTGGGTGTGTGTTTTGCGAGCCATGGCAGCACATGTCTGAGGAGGAGGGCATGGACCCTCAGTGCGGGTGGGGGCACTGTGGGCAGTGGCAGCAGAGCGAAGATCGCAGAGTCAGACCACAGGAGATGCCCTGGAGGCTTAGCTCCTGCTCCACCTGGAGGTGTCAAAGCCTTGTCTTCTGTCCCAGGATCTATGTGTAACTAGAGTGGGAGACCCTTTCACCTGCAAGCAGCTATCTTGGCTGCATGATTTTCAATAGATTACTTAAGTTCTCCAGGCCTTAGTTCTCCTCCGTAAAATGAGATAATAATAGTGTCCATCTCAAGGAATTGTGTGACGATTAAGTGAATTAATACCTTCAAGAAAAGAGCACTTAGAGCACAGAGTTAGCACTCAATGCATATTAACTATTATGATGACAATAGTAGTCATGACTGTGAACACTGGGTGTCACAGAGGGAGGCAGCTGGGGAGAGCTAGACAGTGCCCCTGTCTCCCTGCAAGTTTCCAGCAAATCCCCACTGTACACCTTCATGACCTTTTGGGGGACATGGTGAAGAGCATAAGAGGGAAGGGTGATGGAGAAGCAACGAGGCCTGTGAGTTTATGAAACAACAGGTCAAAATGGGAAACTTGACCTTGAGAATATTATTAATCTCTGCAATTACACTGAAGTGTAGTTCTTAAAGAACTACAGCAAAGAATTGACTTCTCAAAGGGGACCCCAAGAATTGAAAGAGTATAATGCTGTCCTCTAACCCTTGTCCTTGCTATGTATCAGCTGTGTAACCCTGTGCTAGTTACTTAACCTCTCTGAATCTTAGTTTCCTCAGTTGTAAAATGGGAGTAATACTTTACAGGGCTGTTGGAATTACCAAATCAGATGACATCTGTAGAATTCCTAGCAAGTTAAGTTCTTAGGACCTGGTGAGGACTTAATAAAAGCCCAATATAATTCCTATTATTGACATATTAATGCCTATCATTACAAGCTACCTTACAGCTTGCAGTTTACAACCCAGGGAACAGGTTACCTTCATAGCAGGGCTAGTCCTGTGATGGTCTGCTCCCGCATCTTGAAAGATGTTGACACCCACAGGATTCTCCCACCTTGCCTGGGCCTGACCTGAGCTCAGTGGTTTCCATGGGAACGTGTCCAGGGTGTGCAAGGGCTGAGTCGGAGTCCGTCTGCCTCTGCTGTATCCACAGCCCTACGAACAGGGAGTGGCCCATGGCTCCTCTCAGATTATCAGGATTTTTGAGGATTTTTTGAGGTGTCCAGACTTAAACCCTCCTTTTCATTGATCCCTCCTGTGGGGTAAATCCTAGGAGCAGGATTGCAGGATTAGAGGGCAGGTGTATGGTTAACTTTTAAAGAGACCGCCAACTGCTTTCCAACGTGGTTGTGCCACTTTACATTCCAACCAGTTCTGATTGTACCATCGCTCCAGCCACATTTTCTGTTCTTCCCCACACATCAAAGTCGGTATTTTTCTAACTCTAAACTGTATATATAGATATACGTTTTTAAGTAAAACCTTAAAAAAGAAAAACGGTCCTCCCTAGACCCCCAGTATATAGAGCATATGGGAAGATGGCTGCTTTGGTGGGAGGGCTGGGGAAGTGCTTGGATCCCAGAGCGTGGGGGCACCTTTGTCTGCCCCCGGGGCCCCGGAGAGCAGAGCAAGGAGCCCTGAACGTGTGGGTCCGGTTCAGTCAGTTACCTTAGAGCAGAGTGGCGGGCCTGCCAGAGGGGTAGTGATGCGGCCCAGGATGGGCCCGCCACACCCCGGCCAGCCTCGGAGAGCTGTCCACAGGCCGCACCGGCAGCCAAGGGCAGGCCCCGCAGGCCCCGGCAAACGTAGACGCCGGGCTCGGGGGTGATGTTCCCCGGTGGGGCAGGGTGTTTCAGGATATGCAGCCTACCTTTCCATCACCACCGCGTGTCAGTCAAACTTACTGCATTTCCAAAACAAATATCAGAAGCTGTGGGACTCCAGATAGGAGGAACAAAGAAACAAATTCGGAACATTGTGCTCGAAAAAGATTTTAATAAAGATTGAACTGGCTGGGTGCATAGATGCTGCCACTCTTCTTATTCTGATCTTGACAGTGATGCAGGGTGAGAATGGAAGGCTGAGCCTAAGGCAGTTCATTTTCCTGATGGCCTGTGCCTGGGCCCTCCACCTGCGCCCACCTGGCCAGGGATCTGGGGAGCCCCCTGCTCACCAAGCCCTCTGCGTGCTCCTTCCTCCTCCTCCTGCTTTTATCATAGAAACATTTAAACAGCAGACAGAAAGTACCCAAGCCCCTTTGTACCCACAGCCCAGTTTCAGCAGTCGCCAGCACAATGTCTTTTCATCTGTACCCTCCTCCCTCCCACAGATGATTTTGAATCACATCCTGGATGTCATATTACTTCACTCATTGAAGGTCAGTATGTATGGCTAAGAGACAAGGGCTGGGTTTTTCTTAGACATATCCACAGTATCATACCATATCTAAAAAAAATGAGCAATAATTCCTGGGTGTTTCTTATGCAGAATCAAGTGTAAGGACCATGGTTCTAAGCTCTCTCCTCCAAGTGGGAGACACTCATCTGGTAGCAGGAGGCCCCTGACACATGTGGAAGGAGGTTTGTGCATCTTTAAAGAAAGCTGGCCCACTACTTCCGGAAATCCACACTCAACAACAAACAAGTAGCACAAATACACAATGGAATATTATTCAGCCATGAAAGAAAAATAAATCCTGCCATTTGCAACAATAAGGATGGATGTAGAGGGTATTATGCTCTTTAAAAGAAGCCAGGAGGAGAAAGGCAGATACCATATGCTTTCACTTGTTTGTGGAATATAAAAACAAAGCAAAGCAGAATGAACAAAACAGCAGTAGACTTACAGACACTGAAAAGTGACTGGTAATTACCATGGGGATTAGGGTGGGTGGGTGGGGAAGGTGAGGGGCATAAAGGGGCACAAAAACTCTCAATCATAATATAAGTTGGTCACAGGGATGGTAGCACAGCATGGAGAATATAGTCAATGATTCTGTAACATTTTCCCATGTTGACAGATAGTAACCATGCTAGTATGGGTAACTGTTGAATCACTGTTGTATATTTGAAGCCAATATAAGATTGTATATCAACCATATGTCAGTAAAAAAGAAAAGAAAAATAGCACAAAAAGTCAGGCTGAAGACTTTTGTTGCAAAAGCGTCCCTGGGTCTTAGGCCCAGGAACCAAGGAATCTTGTAGTAGAAGCCTTCTATTCATTTTTTCAAATGAATTTTGTAATTTAACCTCAAGGGCAGAGGGAAGATACTCCTGAGTCCCTGGGGTTCCTCAGAGTTTGACATACTCTGGAGGCTCCCTGATGTGACCTTCAGTTTCGAGTTTCTGTCAGAATACCTAGGACCGGTGGCCCTGCCACTCGTGTGCTATGTAGTTTCCTGTCTGCTTTACAAAGGTGACAACTCTTGCCCCAGTCAGCCCACTGGGGTGTTTGCATGCAATAAGGACAGATGCCACAGCTGTAAGTGTGCTGGAGTCCTGGGAGGGCGTCACCATGCCGGCCATGTGCTGTGCCCTCCCCGTTGCATCCCCAGCTCACCCAAAGCTGAAGCCGAAGCTGCCCAGAGGCTTTCCAGGACCCCCTTCACTCCCAGACCTCTAGTCATGTTTTATCCAGGTGCTGAGGAGTGAGCTGGGTTCCCCGACACCTGGGGGTCCCTGAGGCTGATGGGCAGAGCAGGCCTTGCTGTGACACTCCCCCCATGCACCCGCTCTGAGAGTCCTTCGGTGTGTGGTGCGGAGCTCCCTAGTTGCCCATCTCTGTCCCTTGTTGGTCGAGGTGCCTTTGCCCACACTTGCTACTTCACTCAGAGGTGAGAATGCTCTGGCCTGGGCTAGCCAGGTGTCCCTTGATCCCAGTGGGGGACAGGGAAAGAGGGAAGGGAGCTTCGGTGGAGGAGGCTGCGGGAGCGGTGTCAGGGTCTTCTCTTGCTGTCTCCCCTCAGAGGCGACTACTGCTCAGCGGGACAGCACCAAGAAGATGGGCGTCTCTGTGCAGAACTTAGTACACTGGGGTGGGGGTCCCAAAGTGTCCTGAGTGAGCAGTCTCTTTCTCTCAGCTGAGGCCAGCTTGTGCTTAGGGAGTGGCCAAAGGAGGAGCAGGTGACTTTGAAGTCCTGAGGGTGGAGGTCACTTCTCTTTGTGCCTGGGAGGCCGAGGTGTGTTCCCTCAAGACCCTAGCTTGTCCAGAAGTGGCTGCTTACTGGCAGGCTGGACATTCTAAACCTAGAGCCAGGAAGATCGCCCTCCTCCCCAAACCTGGTGCTTCTAAGATGTCTCATGAGACCCACTGACATGTCTCTGGCTGAGTATCTGGTATCTTCCTGGTGAATCCTGGTGGTGACTTTGGGGGTTTCTCAAGGAGGGGGCCTGCTGTGGGGGATGGGGTCATTTGGCCATGGGGTCATTTGGCCCCAGAGTCACTGGGCTCCAAATTCCATTTTCTGCCAGTGGGGGTGAAGGGGAGTCAACCAAGTAGATGGAAGTTTGATGGCATCTCTCAAGATCACATATGCACGTATCCTTTGGTACAAGGAGGTTCACTGCCATATATTTGTAACAGCAGGAGATAGGCAACATCTAAGTGTCCATCAGTAGTGGGCAAGTCAAATGACTTGTGTTTATTCAGTACAATAGACTCTTAAAAAGAATGAGGCGGCTTTATGTTTTGATTGCTACAGAATGACTTCATACTATTATTGAGTGAAAAGAGCAAAGTTGAGAATAATATAGTATGTTACCCTTTGTGCTTTTTAAAGAAAGACTCCTTTTCTATGCACAAAATATGAAGGGACAAATTGCAAGAAAGTAAGAACGAAGGTTGTCCCTGGCACAGGCATCCAGAGGGACGGTGGGGAGGGAGAAGTGTTTTTACTGTAAACTCCTTCGTAAAATCTGAGTTTTGTACCATTTGTCTGTATAAAATGAAGTAAATTAAAAAAAAATCTCTGGCATTCATGGGCTGTGTGACCATAGGTATGTCACTTGCCTCTTTGAGCCCTACCTGTAAAATCAAGTAAGATTTAAGTCGCAGTGTTGCACTAAAGCTAATAGGAACTGGTGGATAGGAAGTGCCTTTTGCAGGATGTGGGCATAACGGGGGTTCAGAGTGGAGCTTCCACGATTATGATTATGTGTAAGTTGTTGCCATCCAGATGCCAGGACCAGGAGAACATCCCAGGCTACAGGAGACGGTGACTGGGAGACTGCGAATGCCTCGAGGGCAAGGATGGCCTCTTTCTCATCTTTGTCCCTCCACCTGCCTGGGCACAGCCAGCCTGAGCTGTTGACGGAAGGGAACGTGTGAGGAGCGGATGTGACACTGTCCACCAGAGGGCGTTGGCTGCTGCATTGCTTCCTTCTCATTTCTGGAATCTCTTCCCTGGATGGCCAGGATGTGACAGATTGGCCAGGTAAAACGTTTAAAGTAGCCGTTTCCTTGTTTCCTTTTTGCCAAGGCCACTGAATACACTGCTCATTGGTTCCTGCTAGGCCTGCGGGATTTCTAGTCGCCAGAGGTGTGGCAGAACGGGCCTAACACCCCTGGGGAGGAGTGTGTGTTAGTGTGTGCATGAGTGCACACAAGGGCTTGTGTGCTGTTCATGTTTATGTGTGCACGTGCACATGTGCATGAGGGTGTGGGGTGTGCAGGTGTGTACATCAGGGTGTGTGGTGTGGGCATGCGTGGTGTGTGTATGTGTGCATGTGAGTGCAGGTCCCTGGACTGTGAGTTCCAGGTCAGTTGGCCTCTGCCGGGAGGGTGATTCTACCCTGAACCACACTGAGCTACCCCAGGCTTCTCTGCCCAAGTAGTCAGGCTCTAGGACCCATATCTTATATTTGCAGCATACTCTACATTTCCAAATCCCTCCACCCTGCCCTGGACCACTTCTTGTGACATTTCTTAACTCCCTGTGTTTCTAATAACAACCTCTCCCCAGACTTGAGAAGGAAGGAACCTCCAGGATAATCGCATGTCCCGGGTTCATCATGCCCCAAATGCTCTTCCCTGCAGGATGGTGTCCCCAGCCCCTGCTGGCCAGGGCACCTAACAGGCTGTGCCTATGTCCCCTGCCTCAGCTACCCTTCTCACAAAGACACAGAGGGGCTAGAGGGCATTTCCTTCCAGCAGTTTCTTGGTGGTGTCCTCAGGGGAGCTCATGGCTCCTGACTCTTCGATCAAGTCTCCAAGCTTACAGCCACAGCTGTGGATGCCCAGAGGAGTGAAGAAACGGTCCATCCACAGGATGCCTGCCTTTTGCAGGTGCTTCTAGGCTAGGGACTGTGTGGAGAATGGCCCCGAGTTTTGACTTGGTAGCTTATGATTCCTGCCATTGGCCAAAGAGGTGTGGACTTGGATGGCACTCAGCGTTTGCAATAACAGTGATGATATTAGCCATTAACACTCAAGAGCATGTCCTGTGTGTCAAGCACTGTTCCAGATGCTTTGCATATGGCAATTCATGTAATCCTCTGCATACAGAGGAATAAATACTTGCTGGGTATCTAATATTCCCACTGGGTATTATCCCTCTTTCACAGATGGGGAAATTGAGGCACAGAAAGGTGGCATAATTTATCCAAGGACACACAGCTGGGAAATGAACTCAGGAAATTGGGCTCCAGGGGTTTGAAGCCAGTCTATTCAGACTCACAGCACTTCTAGGCACACAGATGGGAAAAATCCCCTTTTAAAGGTGAAAATGCCAAAATAGGCACAATGCTTCCAGTTTCCTAGGACCTTCTCCACTGTCCTGGTCAAGGAATATCCACATCAGAATAAATATAAAAGAGCAAACAAATAAAAAAGCAAAGCACCTTAAACATGTGCCCAAGTTGGGCTTAGGGAGCCTGTTTGGGGGGCAGAAGGCACTTTCCTGCCCAGGAACCAGGGCCGGATGGCGGTTTCTCTAAAGGTGCCCCTGGGAGGGCAGGTGGCCCAGGGCTGTCTGGCCCATGGCAGTGGGAGAGGGGAAGCAGCTCTTCCCTCTGGGGCCTCCGCTGGCTGCAGGGAGGGGTGGGGGTGAGGTCTTCACGCGGGTACACAGAGTACAAGCAGGTGGGAAACTGCTGCTCCTTTTTTTTAATTTTATTTTTTGAGTCAGTCCCTCAAACAGTCAGGTTTGCCAGCTTCCTACTGGCTCTCCACCAACCCCCAGCCTTTGAATGGGAGGCCAGGCAGCCTCAGATGTGCCCTCAAGGTAAGAGCCGCTGCTCATCAAGCACCTTTCATAGCATTAAACTCCTCTGTTTGCCTTTGAGCCTGGCAGGGATCCACAGGCTGCAGCCCAGCTGGAGACGCAGGATAAAAGAAACTGGTCTGTTCAGAGTCCAGTGGGAACTGATGGAGGGGAGAGTTGGACAAAGGTGAGGCTGGGCCTGGTTCTGAGGCCCTGGCAGTTCCACAGCTCGTGGGGGGCAGACAGGAGGTCACCCAGCTAACCAGGACACCACTTCACTCCTCCAGAGCTGAGTCCTGAAGAGAGGCAGATAACGGGACCAAAGACCAAAGACAGAGTGTGTCTCTGTAGTGGGCCCAGGTTTCCCAACAGTGGGGATGGACATGGGCCCGGCTAGGCCCCCAGGGCCTTACCCATGCGTGCACAGGGCAGGATTGTACTTCGCTTAAGTTAGATGTGGCCTGCAATTCACTTGGGCCAACAAAGTGTGAGCTTTACTTCTGAAGGAAACCACTTCCTTCTCATCCTCTCCCATGGCAAACATCAGAGCTCCAGTCGGGGGTAGCTGCGGCCAGAGTGTGCCTGTGCGACAGGGAGCAGAGGCCCCGGCCGCTGTGATGGATGTGCAGCCCAGGGAGAAGTAGGACTCTGTGGTTTTAGCCACTGAAATTTGGGGGGTGTCAGTGTGGCATAATGTAAGTTACCCTGACAGATACATGGGCAATCAGAGTGAGGAATCCTGGCTACTCGATCACTTGGCTGATGTGTTATGTATATCAAGCAACAAAATTCATTATCCTAACTAGAGCACGCCTAACTTCCAAAACTGAGTCTTTGTAGTAGGCACTGCAAGACCACTGCAAGTCAGTGGAGGGACAAGTTTGGGAAGTGACTCTGAGCCTGCTGAACCCCCATTGTTTATTTTGCCTGCCTTAGAGGCTCCTAGTAGGAAGGGCACCTATGGACTGTGATGGGTCAGGTGCTTGTTCTTAGTTTTCTAATGAGTCCACAGAAGTAGCTGCCTTTTACCCTCATCCATTAAAGTCGCAGAAGTGTGTAACATTGTAGACCACTTCAGTAAGAGAGCAGGTCCCCTTAATGCGTGGTTCCCGTGCTGGGCTGCACATTGGCATCACCTGGAAGCTTAGAGCCCCGTGCCCAGACCATGACCCTGAGCCACCAAGCCAGAGCCTCTGGGGGCGGGCCAGCATCTGTGGCTGGCCAGGCGACCCCTCTTCCTCCACTCGGGGCCATATTTTAACAGTTGTCTTGAGACAGTCATTAGCAGAACGCTGCTGCCTGCTTGGAACCTTGTATCTCAAACTGCAACAGATGGAAAGGCCTGGAGATTCAGTGCAACCTCTTTAGTGTGAGTGCTCTTACTGGGGGCCTGAAGCCTAAGACAGCCAGCCATTGTCCCTCCTAGCAGGATTTTGGGGTAGACAGACCCAGATTTGAGCCCCTGTTCCACTGTTCCCCATAACAGTTCTGTGACCTCCAACAAGTTGCTTGATATCTCTGAGCCTCAGTTTCCCCATCTGGAAAGTGGGGCTAATTGAATACCAGCCTTAAAGGCTTAGCACAATAGTGTTTGCATAACTGCAAGTTATTTATTATTTCTCCCTGGTGACTTATCTTGAATGATGAGATAGGTCAAGTGATGTAGATTCCATCTGCTGCCCTTACCCTCAGCCTACTACTTCCTGGTGAATGGGACCCCTACCCACTAGCTGCTGAAGCCTGAAACTTGGGAGGCTTTCTGGACTCTTCAGTCTCTCCCCTAATGCCCATGTCTGGCTCATTATTAACCATGATGATGCTAACCCCTAGGACTCTCATAGATTTTTCCACTTCTTCCTCTTTCTACTGCCACTCCCACTGTCTGTGAATTGACTGAACAAATGCAGTAGCCCCCTAGTGGGTCTCCCCAGCCATGCTTTTTTTTAATTGAAGTATAGTTGATATACTATATTGCTTTCAATTATACAACACCATGATTCAACAGTTACCCACATTATTAAATCCTCACTCCAACTAATGCAGTTACTATCTGTCAAAATAGAAAGATGTTACAGAACCATTGGCTATATTCTCCATGCTGTACTTCTGTCCCTGTGACCAACTTATATTATGATTGAGATTTTTGTGCCCCTTTATCCCCTTACCCTCCCACTCAACTACCCCAACCCCTCCCACATGGTAACTGCCAGTTACTTCTCAGTGTCTATAAGTCTACTGCTGTTTTGTTCATTTTGTTTTGCTTTGTTTTTAGTTTCCACAAACAGGTGAAATCATATGGTATTTGTCTTTTTCCACCTGGCTTATTTCACTTAGCATAATACCCTCTAGGTCTATCCATGTTGTCACAAATGGCAGGATTTCTTTCTTTTTTATGGTTGAATAATATTCCACTGTGTATATGTATCACTTCTTCATCCATTCATCTTTGATGGACACTTGAGTTGCTTCCATATCTTGGCTATTATAAATAATGCATCAGTAAACATAAGGGTACATGTATCTTTTCAAGTCAGAGGTTTTGTTTCCTTTGGGTAGATTCCTAGAAGTGCAGTTATTGGGTTGTATGGTATTTCTATTTTTAGTTTTTTGAGGAACCTCCATACTGCTTTCCACAGTGGCTGTATCAATTTACATTCCCACCAACAGTGTGGAAGTTTCCCTTTTCTTCATATCCTTGCCAACACTTGTTATTTCTTGTCTTTTGAATAGTGGCCATTCTATCTGGTGAGGTGGCATGTCACTGTGGTTTCGATTTGCATTTCCCTGATGATTAGTGATGTGAAGCATCTTTTCACATGCCTGTTGACCATCTGTATGTATTCTTTGGAAAAATGTCTGTTCAGGTCCTCTGCCCAGTTTTAAATTAGGTTATTTGTTTTTTGGTGTTGAGTCATATGAGTTCTTTATATATTTTAGATGTTAACCGCTTGTCAGATAAATCATTTATAAATATAATTTCCCATACTATAGGTTGCTCCCCAGCTCCACTTTGGGGCTCTTCCAATCCATTCTCAAAATGTAGTCAGAGTGATCTTTCTAAAATATATCTCCCTACTAGATATTAAAGCAAATTTTAAAGTTATAACAATTAAAACAGTGGGGGTGCTGGTGCATGAATACACAAACAGATCAGTGGAAAGAAAAATAGGAAGTCCAGAAATAGACCTAAATATGGGGAGGATGTTTGCATATTAAAAAAGTGGCATTTCAAAAAAAGAGTGGCATTTCAAATAAGTGAAGGAAAGAGATTTTTCAATACATAGTATAGGCACAAGTGGGTAGTCATCTTTGCATAGGAATAAAATTGGATCCATACCTCAAACTTTACACAAATAAATGGTTCAAAGATATAAATGTAAAAAAGTGACTCCATAAAAGTACTAGAGGAAAACACAGTGTATCTTAAAGTAGAGAGGGCCTTTTAAAATATGATTCAAAATCCAGAAGTCAAAAAAGAAAAGTTTGAGAAATTCAACTACATTATAAAAATCTTTTATGGCAACAATTAATATAGGCAAAATAAAAAAACTATTAAAAATACTTGTAACTCATATCACAGACCAAAGGTTACTTTCCACAATATGCAAAGAGTTTCTACAAATTAACTAAAAAGACAACAACCCAATGGACATATGGACAAATATATGAGCAGATAATTCAAAGGAAAATACAAATGACTATTAAGCATAAAAAATATGCTCAACTTCACTCAAATAAGAGAAAAGCAAATGAAAAGGACACTGATACTATTTTTCACTTACCAGATTGGAAAATATCCAAAACTTTGTTGACATAGAAATTTCTGAGTATAGGAAAAAGCACTGTTACCCATTGCTTCTGGGGGTAGAACTCTATGTAAGGCAACCTGGGAAAAACTAGCAAAACAGTAAATGATACCTATGGTGGTTAGTTTCATCTATGAACTTGACAAAGCTGTAGTACCCAGTAATAAAATGCAACACTAATTTGTGTTGCTGTGAAGGTATTTTATAAATGTGGTTAACATCTACTGTCAGTTGACATTAAGTGAAGGAGATCTTGATAATGCAGGTGGGTCTTATCCAGTCACTGAAAGTCTTAAGAGCAAAACCTGAGGTTTCTGGGAGGAGAAGTTCTGCCTCAAGACTAAAGTATCAACTCCTGCTTGAATATCTAGCCTGCTGGCCTTCCCTACAGATTTCAGACTTTGCCAGCCCTCACAATTAATTCCTTAAAATAAGTCTCTCCCTCTCTCCTATAGTCTCCTACTGGTTCTGTTTCTCTGGAGAACTCTGACTGATATAGTATCCTTTAATCTAGCAATCCCACTTTCCCACTGGTGGGAACCCTTGCACATATGTGAAGTCACATTAACCCAGAGTGGAGCACTGCCATCAAAAAGTCTGAGGCAACATATAGAATGGTTTGCAATACTGATTTAAGTGAAAAAGAAAAGTAATACACATTGATGAAAAGTGTGCACAGTGTGCTCTTTTGGGTGTAAAAGGTGGAAAATATATCCATGTTTGTATATGTATAAAATATCTCTTGGTGGGCACACAGGAAACTAACACTGAATACTTCCAGGGAGCAGAACTGGGTGGTGGAGCTGTAGGCCGGAGATTCCGCACATATCGCCTATTGTTTCACACAAAACAAAAAAAACCTTACACCTGATTCTGTTGCTCAGCAGCAAGGACAGCTGTGTGCCTTCTGGTAGACGCACTGTTGTTACCATGATTTACCAGGTCCTTTGTGACCTGCCATTCCCTTACCCACACCACCCCTAACCCCACACCACACCTAACCCTCACCACTCCCCATTCTCTGCATTCTCCATTCCAGTTGTTTATTTACTTATTTCAATTCCTTCAACTCACATGCTTTCTCTTCCTCCCAGATCTGAAATGCCCCTGAGGCTCTAAGAGTTCCTGCTTCTCATCTTCTTGGTGTTGTGCCCTTTCCTCTGAAGAACCTGGGCTGCTTGGCTGGTGTTGACTTCCCTCTGCTGTGAGCCGGAGTTCCCCAGGGAACCCAAGGGCCAGGGTGGAGCCCACTGGCTTCCTCTGGGCTCTGGCTGGGAGACCGCCTGCCCTGAAGGACTGAGTAGTCCTTATTCTCCCTGACCCCTGAGCTCCTATCATTCAGCCTGAGACTGATAGGACTCCTGGGATCTGCTGGGGCATCTCAGGTGGGCAGGGGAAGAGGCCTCTCTGTAACTGGACTTCATCTACTGTTTCTGGAAGGGACTTGGTGCTTGTGTCTTTCAAGTTATCTGTCTCCAGGCATCCTGCAGGTCAGTGCCTGGTCTTCAGAAAGTCCTGTTGTAAGAGGAAGACAGCAAACTTGGGGCCTGCCCCCTTAAATCACTTCCTTGGGGGGATGAGTTAGATATGAACACTTCAGAAGCACACCTGGACAAATGCAGTAAACTGGAGGTGAACAAAGGCATGGATCCTGTCTTAGGAGGGCACAGTGGAGTAGGTGAGGAGATGAGGCAGTCAGACCCCAGAGCCCAGGGGTGGGAGAAAGCGTGCAGGATGTGAGCTCTCTGCCTGGGAGCTGGATATGCCCATTTGGTGCTGGATGAGGGAAAAGATGTGTCATGCGTTCATTTTATTTCTCTCATCCACAACTTGCTGTCTTTGTACATATTCCATCTTGGATGAGTAACAGGGTGAGAGGTCAGTGCCAAAAGGGACTCAGTCAAGTACAGAGGCAGGAAATCTGTTCGGTCTTCTCCCAGCGGACAGATCTGGGACAAGCATATCAGAAAGCAAAGTGGTGAGGTCCAATTGGACAGATTTGATTTTGGGGTTTTGTAGGTTCATCTGACTTCATTCTGGAGCCTGTTAGAATTTTATGGCATGGAAAACTGGAACTATTTCCCAAGGACACTGGCACAAACAGGGACACCCAGTCCCAGTTGTGGTCTCCACAGGGGGATTTAAATGAACTCTCTTGACTGACATGAGTTCCAACAGTTCTGGTGGGACTGTTTCACTCACTGAAGCTCTAGTTTTGTTTCTCCTGGATTGGACTTAAAAAATAAAACCTCAAAAAACTGTGGAACACACTATTAAAAAACATGCACTCTGAGTCAAGCGTAAACACAAAGCTGTCTTTTTATAAAGTCTGAGCTTTGTAAGGTTGCCAGAGTGTTTCTCCTTCAGTTTTAAAAATTGAAGTTGGAAACCACTGAAGAGTGAAAAACATGCCATGGAGGAATTTCTCAGACACTAAATTCCCAGGTTTACATCACAGAGAAGTCAATGTCTGTGTACATGAGCCCCAAGGGCAAGGCTGGTTGGACAGAGCCATGCCACGTTGGCGCCTCGGGGGACACTGTGGAAGATCATTTGCTCCAGTGGAACTCCTGAATAATAACTGAGATGTCATGCTGAAGTTTTGTCAAAATTTCTCAATTTCCGGGTCACCTACGTCATGTGTCTGTGTCCCAAAGTGCAGACCGACACACACACATAGGAGCCACCCTCCATTCTAAATTCATCTGGGTTGAACCCGAGTGGGCAGTATGAAGACCAAGGCTTCAGGGTTGCTTTGGGAGCAGTGCTCTGTCACTTGTCTCATTTTCAAAGCCTTCAGGTTTGGGCTTTAATCTCCCAGCCCCAGTCCCTGTACCTTCTGGACACTCCTCTTCTGTACCTTCCACCATGACCCCTTTCTCAACTATTTTGTTTTCAGCTTTTAGAAATGACTAGTGAACAAAGAACTCACCATTCTTGGGCTAACCTCTGGGCACTCCTCAGACCCGATGGTCCATTTTCTACTGTATTCTGTCATTGGTGTGGGTGAGGGGAGATGTTGGCATCAAGATTCCCATTGTCTCATCCTGAGGGCAATCTCCCAGGCTGATTTTGCAGGCTGACCCCAGAGTTTGGGGAGCCAGAACAGTGCTGCTTAATAGCAACTTGGCAGAATTGTTTTGTCGAATCTAGAGCAATACCAGGAGCTTGTAATTTAAAAAACATTTTTATTATATGTTACAAAAGAATTGGACCATGTAAATTAGAAATAAGCAGTTGTCAGTGCAACTGGAATTCACAGATGGTTTGAGACACACCAAGTGAGCTAGACTGTCCTAGAGCTTCTGTTGAGGATCCAGAGGCTGAAATGCTCCAAGCGGGGTAGTTTTCAAGCATTATGAGGTATAGATAGAAAAACAGAAAATGGAAGTCCTTGCAGAAGCCTGTGGAGTGATACCTGTGAGATGGTGCTTGAGTTGATGTGTCAGCTTGGCCCAATGGGACAGGGAAAATGGACAATGTATGGGTTTCCATACTGTGCTTCTGGGTGGGTCAAGTCTACCCTGACCACTCCATATTTTTCTAGAGGAGAATTAAGTTCTGGTTATGGATGAGATTTTTGCTGCCCCCCAGCCCTCTCACAACTTCTGGGGACAATAGGTCTTGGGCTGATAGGGAGTCAGGGCCGTGGATAGATGCAGTGACTGTTCAAGGGACCAAGCCACGGTGCTTCCACAGGAGTTGGGATTCTCCCTGTACTGTGCCCTTGGCCTCCTTATCATCAGCATGGAGGATATGAGATCATAGTGCCCACCTGTGCCCTCCGGACTCCTGGCTCCAATCCACCGCAGCCTCTTGCCAGCCAGTATGCTGTGGAGGTGTTAACCATATCCTTTCAATAATGGAATTATTGAATGGGGCGGGACCATTAGGGGGAGTCCTGAAAGTTCACTCCTAGTAACCTTTTCTGCAGGAGTGAATATTCTGCTACGAGGGGCGCTGGCAAAGAGCTACAGCTTTGCCGATAAACATCACTGACCAACCTGTTTCCAGGCACATGCTGAGCCCTTCATGATCCCTCTCCTTTAATGTCACAGCTCTCACATTTACCCTCATTTCACACATTCCAAAAGTGAAGTTCAGCCTTTCTTTGGTGCACTATCTTCTATCCGTACTCAGCCATACACTGAGCTACAACTCATCCGGGTTATGAGAACTTAACTTTAGGAGGAATTTCACTGAACATCTCAGCTTATGAGGTATTTCTTCATGTTTCCAGAAACCCTTTTGGCTTTTGCATGTCTCTTGAGCAACTTGAGCGAGCCTGGTGAAAAGAGAGTCACAGTGCAGTCATTGTCACAATGTCAAGTTGTGGTTGCCTCAGACAAATCTTGGTCTGCTAGGTTTGGTGGCAAAAACCTTTGTATCGTAGGTTTTCTTTGGTCTTTGCCTTTTTTTTTGAATTACAGGTTTAATTACATAAGCCTTGAGTATCACAGGCCAAAGAACAAACCAAACCCAAGGCTCAGAGAGATTAAATAATTTGCCCAACATCACACAGCCAGAGAATGCAGAAACCAGAATTCAAAGCCGGGTTAGTCTCGCCAGCCACATGCTTAATTGGAATTATTTAGAATTCATATATTATATGTCATACTATAATTAGAGGCATTAGAATGAAATTCAAGCCATGTAATTAAAACCCCAAGGTTCTATGGTTTCTTTATGCAATCGTTAAGGGGTGAAATATGATTTTAAAGGCATCGAGGGTGGAGAGCAAGCTCTAAACAACACTATCTGCCAGGTTAGAGTCCATGTTTAGAAACATGCCCTAGAGTCAGGTGATGCATGTATTGCTTACTTTGGGCACAAATCAAGCCTCATACATTTTTACACCTCTTTTCCTACCTTTTTGTTTTAAAAAAGCAGCTCATAGTTGAAGACATAGTTTACATAAAATGGTCAGGTGGGAATAGTTTACAGGGATGTCACACTCACTCTTCCTCTTCCTTGCTGGCTTATTTCTAAGATTTAGTTCTTGTTTTCTAATGGATCATATTGACAAAAAGAAAAAAGACACACACACCAGTGTTACAAAACCTTGTATTAATCATTTCCCTTCACTTTCAATATAATGTTGATATGAAATATAGCCATGATTCTTAGTTACATGAGAGGAAATGAGTAATAAATACATTGTAGCAATTTTAAACCACAAGGGTGTTTCACTGGTAACAACATTTGAAAACTGTACACTTGCAAAGAACAGCATCTTCAAACATTAGTATATCTGTATATCAGTAAAGCTTTTACATGTAACAAACATGCTATTTCCATATATATGACAAATTTTAAAAATATGCATTGCTTGGCAACATGAACTAGGCAAAAATAGTTCTTTGTTCACTAACTTTATACAGGAAAACAGGACAAAAGGCATGCATGTACAAATGGGATGCCTGCAAGGGGCATGCAACAAAAGAAAGCTTTTTAAAAGTCAGCTTACATTAGGCATAAATACATGAGGATTATATATTAATAAGGGAGGAAGTCTTCTGTTTGACATTATTAACATTCCTGTTTTCTTCCTATTCCTCCCAGAGGAATACACATTCACCTTTAAGTAAAGATAAAGGAATTACAAAAAAATAAAACTCACTTTGCAAAAGTCTCTGATGACTTGTAAAGAAAAAAAATCAACATTAGTGTTATTACAGCCCCATGTGCAAATTACCCTTCTGCAGGTTTTTCTTGTAACAGGCACATCCGGACACCTTGGTCAGACTGCTTTCCAAGCTGGAGCTGCTGGAGCAGACATCGCTAGACGGCCAACGAGAGTGGAGCGTGCTTCTCCTCTGCTGCCTGCTCTCTGGTTGCCTGCCGGTGCTTTCAGCCAGCTCAGCCCCCCAGCCCAGGCTCTCTTGGTGAGGCCCGGTTCCAGCTGGGGCATGCAGCCTACACATCCTGCCCCAGAGGCAGTGACCGCGGGAGTTGCAGAAAAACAAAGGACTCGCAGAGGGCTCCCATTCCACAAAGGCAGCCAACGACACCTCAAAAGAAAACTTCATTTCCCTCAGTGTCTCATCAAATGAATGGGAGATGGGGACCCAGCTGTAGCTCCAATCCTGAGTACCAAAAAGGGACCATCAGTACGTAGGATTTGAGAGCTTGGTGCAAACAGCTGCCCTCTGCAGGTAGACCCAGCAGCGTCTATTTGGCTTGCTGGCCCTTGCTTAAAAAGTGAAACTCAAAAAGCATGTGGAAACAAACAAACAAACAAACAAACATATCAGCAGCAATGTTTCATTTCTTGTACACAGTTTATGTGTGTCTTCCCACTGTTTCTGGTAAGAAACCACTATGAATAAGAAGCACCAATAAAACATCATACATGATAACATCATAAAACACCACTGTCCCTGGGACAGTGTAGAGATGCCAAATACACACTGCTTAAATCAGAACAAGGGGAAAAAAACATGTAGTGAAATAGATTTTACTTTGAGATTTTTAATGATACCATTTACTTAATATAAAATACAGTTGCATTTGGGGGTCAATGGGTAAATACAAAAAAAGGCACTGCCGCTTTATTACTAAATATCTGACTTCACAGCCTTACACATGCAACTGTTTGATATTTTTATAAATAAATTCTTTTGCTTTAGGGTTTTTCAATTGAGCTGTATACCTGCAGTCAACACAGGACTCAAAACAAGGTGGGAACAAGCTCCTAAATTTTTTCAGAACACTCAACTTAAAAAAAAAATTAAAACACTAATAGCAAAACACAACTAAGTCGGTAATCTATATACAGTCAATGAAAAATAAGCTTTTCTTTTTAAAAAAAAAGAATTATGTTGTTATTAATAACAGACTTTATCATGGTTACCAGCCATAGCAAGTTAATAAGTAACATATCCAAAATAATATCTCTAGTAATCAGATAACCATTGTTTCTATATTCAGTGAAGGAATAAATAGAAATTCAGATTTGCAAATACTTTTAAGGTCTTCTTCCTTTTAAAGGATTCGTGCTAATGTGATTGTGTTCACAATCTGTTTTCTGAACCCCCTTCCCTCCCCGAGTCTTTATGGATATATGCGCTTTGCAGCAGATCTGAGTGCTTTCTCCTTTCTCCATGAGATGTGTGATGCCATTGTTTTTTCTTCTCTGAACTTTCTTAGCATCCAAAAAACACCTTCGCAAACCCTCTGGTCTTACCTTTGGCCTTCGTATTTGTGATCTGTTTTTCCTGCCTTACATGTGATCATCCATCCTGACACATTCCCCAAGTAAAACTGAACCTGTTTAGAAAGGGTGTGTGAAGGATGAATGTTAATGGCACTTATTTTTTAAGAAAAGCAACTAAATAATGATGCCTCTTTCTGTGCATGGATTTGCATCTTTAGAACATAATCACCCAAGAAGAGGTCCCTTATTTATAAGATGCATGATCTTGTGGTCAAGCCTTCTTCCTTGCTAAAGGCTGTCTCTGGTTAAGATGCTCCCACCTTTTTGGACTTTGAAAGTACGTCAGAAGCCTTATTACAATGCCCAAGGCTGAGTTGGTTATACATTTCTAATATTGAAGGTAAAAGAAAGTTGTTTGGATTTCATTAAGGACTTTTAAATCTGTATTTACTTCATTAACTTAAAAAAAAAATAACCATGACTGCAGTGATTTTCACGGTCTGATCTCTTCAATTTAGACTCTGACTTTGCTAAATGAAGTGGCACCAGAATCGCCTGTTTAATAAGTAAGCCTTATACCATCTCCCGGATCTTGCCTCTGGCTGAGCATTCATACCATCATTTACACAATCCAATTTTCCAGTGCACAACACAACTCCCCTTCGATTTCCTCTAATACCCTCCATTGCATCGAATTCCACAACATAGTCTTTCCCGCCCTTAAGAAAAAGAGCTATTACTGTGTGGTAGCAGTTTGTTAATCTCCCACCACGTAACGAGTGGCTTTCTCTCCCTTCTGTATGGGAGGATAAATCAGCCAACACAGCAAATCCCTGACACACACCACATGGACAGAGCCACCGCTTCCATCATGCCGCTGACCTTTCCCACACGGTTCACCGCCTACCTGGGACGGTGGGGCCATCCCCATAGGCTGTACCATCTCCCTGCACACTCTCTCTGCCACTTGCTGCCTGACCCTTTATATGCTGTTGCTGGGCTCTGCTCTCCTCTTCCTCCACAGTGAGCAAGAGAAGGGGATGCAGCCCCCGGGCTCAGGTTCCTGTGAACAACCACACTGTCAGCAGTGTTTTGAGCTCATTAGCTGGTTGGTAAGGCCTCTTACGAGGAAGTGTCCATCCCTGCCTTTTCTCCTCTAGTCGACCTCACACCCAACCTATGGGTTTGCGGTGTGAAGCTGGGCGTGATAGGATGAAGCCCCGTGGTTAAGGCGGGAGAAAGAGAGGCCTCTGGGTGAGAAGCAAATCCAGCACAGAGAAGCGCCACAGGATTGTTTTAGAATCTCCAGGTGACCTGCAGGCAAACCCTAGCTGGTCACATGGAGCCGCCCTGGGGCTGTGCCCATGCCAGCCCCATCCTCTCCTTCCCCTCCACCTGCACGACCCTCCGACCCACAGGCGGAAGCTGGAAACTCAGGCCTATGACTGCGTCTGTCTTCCCAAGAAGCAGAGCTTGGCAGTCATTTTAAAAGACAACCCTGCTGCTATTATAAAAATAGAGGACAAAAATGAATCCATATCAACAAATCCTTTACAAAAACCATAGTATGAAGAGAAATTCTATCCAAATTCTTTACACATTATGTACCCTTTAAAATTATTATGTAAACAATACACAAATCAAAGTTTATCTGAAATTCTGTGGGAGGGAATTTCTCCCTTCTTGCCCCACGTGCCCTGTGCCACGCGGCGGCTCAGTCCCGGGCAGGGTCTCCAGGGGAATCTGTCAGGGAGATGCCAGCGGCGGGCCGGCAGCTTGCGGTGGTCGCAGGTGCCCATGCCCTCCTCCTGGGGCTTGGCTGAAGGCAGGCTCTCTGGGGACCGCTCCAGGCTTGGCTTCCGCCATCCTCCCACGTCCTTTGGGGCTGGACTTTTTTTTTTCTTTTCCTTTCCTTTCCATCCAGGAGGCCGCTTGCATTCACCCCACCCCCTCCCAGTCCCTCCTCCACACCCCGCACACCAAGCCATCCCATGACAGAAACAAATAACAAAATCACCAATCCCAGGCCTACTGATATGTTTACAAGGACGACCTAGTTCTCACAAAATCAAAATGGGAGAGGGACCACGGGAAAAAAGGCTGCAAAATGTCTTGAAGGATTCTGTGCAACCCTGCAGATGGCTGACACTGGACCCGCAGCAGTCGATATCTCGGCCAGCGTGGCCACTCTCATCTTCAGCTTCTAGATTGTGGAGGTCCGGTCAACCCCATCTGGGAGAGAAAGGGTACACGATGGGCTCAGGGGAGCAAGACAGTTCTCTTCATGTCCACCTAGTCACTTACCTTGTATGTTGGGCCTCCCAGTCTCTGAGGACAGGGAAGGGCTAAGTTCATCCATCCATTCATTCATCAACTCATCATTCACACACCTATCCACTCAGTACCTGGGGAACAGCTCTTCTCACCAGGAGCCATAGTCAGCCTGTGAACCCAGATGTAAAGACCTGATCTTCAGCCTCTGGGTGCTCACACGCTAGTCAGGACACACACATGTAAACCCATCAAGATGTACCAGTGGTAGTTGCTATAATGGAGAATGTAGCAGGTACAGCAGGAACATGGAGAAAGGAATGTTTAAGTTGCCCTTAGAAGTGAAGACAGTTTCACAGGGAAAGAAAATGACTTGTGAGATGGTGCTGATAAGAGAAGAAAGGAGGAGGAAGAAGAGGATGAGCATGGGGGATGCAGACAGCTCATGTGTAGGCATGATGTTGGTCCTTGAATGGGGAC